TCCGGAGCCTCAGGCCTTTAGAAACACGGGGAAGAGGAGGTGAGCGGAGAGATTTGGAGCCAACTGGGAAGTGAAGCCGTTTTCTCAGATTCTCACATCCATAATTTTTAAATTGCAAAATTCATAATCTTCAGTAATTAGATCTAACTGTCCCCAGCACCCAGCTTTCCTATATCAATAATTGTATAAGAGCACGTTGATTAAAAGTATTCAGGGGAGTTGGGGGTTAATGGGGGGATGAGAACACATTTGTAATACCTTAACCAATAAAGAAATTAAAGATTAAAAAAAGTATTTGGTAGTATTATTTTTTTAAAAAAAAATTATTAATTTCAGAAAGGAAGGGAGAGGGAGAGGAGAGGGAGAGAGAGAAACATCAATGATGAGAATCATTGATTGGTTGCCTCCTGCACACCCTCTACTGGGGATTGAGCCTGCAACCTGAGCATGTGTCCTGACTGGCAATTGACCCTTGACCCCTGGTTCATAGGTAGACACTCAACCACTGAGCAACACCAGCCAGGCTTCAGTATTACTCTTAGTAAGAGAACTACTCCTGACTCTTGCTAGCTCATACTCTATATGAATAATGTGCTACAGTCAATGTGATGTGTCTTTAAATACAAGAAGTTTGGATTTTCAGAGTCAAGGGCAACTGGGGAAAAATGCAAATTGGTGTTTGCCAAAGGCAGGCGTTCTTTTCTTATTTTTTGTCATAGTGCTTCTGATAAATTAGGAAAGGGCTACTTCCACGTCATTTTCTCTCTGCACTTCCTGCTTGGCTATCTAGCCTCAAATTAGGCAGTCAGCTCCATTAGCGGCCAGCACACACGCAAAGCTGAGCTGGACTTGCAGTGACCATACCTGCGTACAATACCTACAGATTGTCTGGCATTTGCTAATTTCTTACTGTGTTTAAGATGTGCTTAAGATTGGGGGGAGGAGTCAGGGAGAAGAGGAAGGAAGAAAGGAAGAAAGAAGGAAAGAAGGAAAAAAGGAAGAGAGGAGGGAGGGAGGGAGGGAGGAAGGGAGGGAGGGAGGGAGGAGGGAGGGAGGGAAGGAGGGAGGGAAGAAGGAAGGGAGGGAGGAAGGAAGGGAGGGAGAGAAGGAGAGAGGGAGGACAGAAGGAAGGAAGGGAGGGAGAGAGAGAAGGAGGGAGGGAGAGAAGGAGGGAGGGAGAGAAGGAGGGAGGGAGGGAGGAGGAGGGAGGAGGGAGGAGGGAGGGAGGGAGGAAGGGAGGGAGGAAGGAAGGAAGGAAGGAAGGAAGGAAGGAAGGAAGGAAGGAAGGGAAGGAAGGAAAGGAGGGAGGAAGGGAGGGAGAGAAGGAGAGAGGGAGGACAGAAGGAAGGAAGGGAGGGAGAGAGAGAAGGAGGGAGGGAGAGAAGGAGGGAGGGAGAGAAGGAGGGAGGGAGGGAGGGAGGGAGGGAGGGAGGGAGGAAGGAAGGAAGGAAGGAAGGAAGGAAGGAAGGAAGGAAGGAAGGAAGGGAGGAAGGAAGGGAGGAATGGAAAATGGATGCCCTCTCTGCATTCAGGGAGTTTTGTTGTTGAGAGCCTATGAGGGCATAAATCCATTAATATGTCTTACTTTAGACAACCGCCCATAATTTCTTCTTTCTAAAATGTAATATTGTCAGAGATCAGAATACTATGTCAATCAGGAATCGGAATAATTTTTAGAGCTGGTTTAAGATGACAAAGGGAAGAAGTTTCCATTCGGTGCTAATCTGAGTTAGGGTTTCTTCTTAGACGTTCATATCATGTTAAATTAAGGAGGACAGACCTGAAGCCCAGGGCCTCCTGGTAGCAGGAGCCTCGCAGTGAGGAAGAGGAGGAGCTGGCCCAAACCCAGGAAACATCCCTAAGCAGCCCCTGCGCCCTCCAGCGCAGAGCCGGAGTGGCTCTCAGGAGCCCACGTTCAACAAGAGGAGGGACATGGAGGGGGTCCGCAGCAAGGTGCCCAGGAGCACCTGTGAGACGCCATTGAACAGATGGGCGAGACACGCCCTCCAGAGGGCTAGTCCGGGAAGAATTCACAGGACAGAAAAGACAGAATATGGTTCCTGAAAGGCACGTGGGATATTTGACAGACTTGTTCGTGGGGGAGAGAGCGTTTTTGCTGGAGAAGCATGTAAATAATAAAAATAATAGTACTTAACACATTGCGTACGGCATAGAGATCTCTAAAACATACGCCAGGGACCGCACGTTTTTGGGCAAACTGCACGTTATTTAAATCATCATAATGCACTTTAGGTGTTGTTTTTCAATAATCATAACATTTTTATTTCCAAAAACAATTAAAGTTCCTAGTACTTTTTAACGTATGGTACTGCGTGAAACATTTTCTTCTATGAAGAGGGACCAAACAAAATTTACGTAAGTATCTAGATTCGCTCCTATTTCCATGGGCGTGAAAAACGAGAACACTCGTGAGCGGTCCTTAACAGATGGCGCGCGAAACACTAGAAAGCTCCTGAGCGGACGAAATGTGTTAAAATAGCATCTTCTGCCTCTACCACCTATTGGCCTGCTGCTGCGAGCCAGCGAGATGCTCAGGGTTCTAAATGCTGTATCTCAGTGAGTCCTGATAGCAAGGCGCTCAGGCAGAGGGTGGGAGCTGGGGATGAGCCTGCTCTGAGCTGCTGGGGGTCCTCTGGAATGCAGGCATAAGAAGGGAACCATCCGGTCTGTTGGAGCGCCTGCGCTCCGCATCCAAGAAAGAGGTGGGGCACTGCACGGGCCGCACCCACCGCCTGCCCTGGTGGGGGCAGGAAAGAGGCAGAGCTGGCTGGCCCCACCCCTGTTTTCTCTGAGCTCCAATCGTCCTGGCCAATTAGTCAGATTTCACAGCGACCCCGCTGTGGCCAGAGGGTCCTCTGGAGCTGGGCATGAGTCCAGGCAAAGCGAACCTTTCCCCTCACACTTACAAGTTACTGCTGAGTCCAGGTGCCTTGTTGGTATGTAATGTAGTTTGTATAAAACTGATCATTGGTGGTTAATTTGTTTATGTTTCTTAAGGAGATAAATTAAAATTAGTCAATTGCATTCCTGGGGAGCCAGTGGCTCCACTTACCGAGAAATCTGTTACTTCCCAGCCACAGCCCCAGCCCCAGCTCCCGGCACCGAAGCTAGTGTTATAAACTATTTTCTATTACATTCGATAGGTTTAAGTAAAACTACATGGGGTGCTTTCATCAAAAGGAGTGGAAATCATTCTTCAAAGCAGAATCCATTCGAAGTTGAGACAGACGATGTTTTTCAAATTGAGCTGCAATTCAACGGCAACTTTATGCCTTTGAAATGATGGACATAAGGAGCAATTCTCTACTTTAAACTCTTCTGCTTTCATTTGGGTTCTTCAGATTAGGAACACTCCAGGGGTCCCTGATTCTTGCAGCTTTTATTTTACCAATGACTGCATTATAAGTAAAAATCTATTTTTTATGAAAAAATTATGATTTTATAATGGAAAAGTTTTTTCATTTTCATATTGGAGAAAGTCTTCTTTTGAGGGATTAGTGTACATTAATGCATAATTTATCATGTATATTATATGACATATCTGAGTTGACAGACAGCCCTATTTCAAGCAAACATAGGTTGCGTTTAGTTTTTATTATTTACAATAAATTTCCTGAAGGCTGAAGAAGCAATCTAAACACTCAGGGTTTTTTTCTGAAATTTCTGGGGAATGGCCAAGTTCAAATCATAATAAATTTGAACCGAAAGTGACAGAGAAGGATAGTCCCTGATATCAAGATCTGTGCCCCAGACCTTTTTCAAATTTTTTATTGATTGATTTTAGAGAGAGGAATGGAGAGAGAGAAAAACATCAATTTGTTGTTTCATGTTGTTCCACTTAGTTATGCATTCATTTGTCAATTGATTCTTGTATGTGACCTAACTGGATACTGAACCCACAACCTTGGCGTATAAAGACAACGGTCTAACCAACTGAGCTACGTGGCCAGGACTGTGCCCCAGACCCTGAGCATAGCTCTCTGCTGGGACACAGACACCCCACCCCCCCTCCCCCACCGTGAAAGCTCACAGGCAGGTGTGGCTCCCACAGCGCCAGCTTCAACATCTTCAGGCTCAGGTTTCTGTGGGTCCCTGACAGCATTTCCAAACGTTCTCTTCAAAATGGGAAGATAAGGGTGGCGCAGTGGATTTTTCATGATCATAAACATGTTTCGTTTAAAGGAGTGTTTGGTCAATATGAGGTTGTCCTTTTCTTAAGCCCTTTTCTTTCTAACTACACTTGATCGTAGGATGCTTGTTATAATTGTTGTTTTTTAACATCCTTACTTGACAAAATGGAAAGTTGTCAATCTTCTATTAGTCTTACCTTTTATCTTTAAAACCATAGTAAACAGCAAAAACCCAGCATGAGAGCCATCCCAGTGAAACTGACAGTGGGAACATCAGTGCATTTCCTTCCTCTGGCGTCAGGGCTCAGAGGGGCCGCACAGCTCACTGCCTCGGTTTCCTTTTTAAAAAGTCAAGTACAAGCGTTCTGTAAGTTGGGAGACTTCTCTAGCATCTAAGACATTTTAGGGGGAAAGTGTGATATTCTGGTTCCAACCAATCACCAAAGAACTGGATTAAAAATATCGCTGATGGCTAAAATATATGTCACGACATAGTCCTAAAAGTATCATTATTCACACACCTGTCAGGATTGAATCCTCCCTCAATCTGAGTCCATCTAAGAGTTACTCAACTATTTGCCAAACTGAATTTAGTGTCAGCTATTTTACAGACTATTTCTAGATCCCACGACCTCTGCACCACATCGGTGAGAAGACACGTCAGAGGCTCCCATCCTGGAGAATCACTGTGTGATCAAGTCCTCGGTGTGGGGGGAGCTGGAGGCGGTCAGAGCTGATGGGACTCCAAAGCGTCCTGGGATTTGACAGCATCTGGGGGGGTGTCCGTGAGGTGCGTGCGGAGTCCTGGCCTTTGATTTCCTGTCCTTTCTGTCCCTTTTCCCCTTCCAGTGAAATCGGATGAGTTACAGACAATCAAGAAAGAATTAACGCAGATCAAAACTAAAATCGACTCCTTGCTGGGGCGCCTGGAGAAGATTGAGAAGCAGCAGAAGGCAGAGGCGGGTAAGTGAACAGAATTGTGGGAATGAAATCAGAGACACTGTCAATCACCTAGACAGGCAGGGCCAGGGGCCTGGGTGGGGCGGGGCCAAGGGCGGGGCCAGGGCCAGGGGCAGGCTTTATAGAGTTTAAGGCAGATTCACTGTGAAGTCTGTAAGCTAGAGTTACAACAGGGAGATCTGGTCTTTTACTTTTCAGAGAACATGAGCCAATTTGTCTAAAATTCATATATTCACAAAAGGGAAAAATGAAAAGTATGTTGATGCTAATAAGTAGAGGTGTGATTGTCCTTGGAAGTTTATAGCTCAATATCAAGTAACCTTTAAGAAAATAAAGTCAATTCATGGGCTAATGCTATCAGGCTAAAAGTACAAGTCATACGTCATTAAATTAACTGCAGCAACATTGACTGGATTTCAAGGTCATGATCACAAAGCCCAACTCCTGCCTCGCTGTGAATCTGTGAGACTTCAGGACACAGTTCAGAACTCACCACCACAGTGTCTCTGGCCACCAGCCAAGTCGTTGATTACAGTTTCACTATGTCATGTCTCTGGGCCCTGAATCGTCAGCCCTGACCTTGGCTCCCAGTCCCTTTTCGTGCTATATTAGTGCCCTTTTTCTGTGGCCACGCTACCGTTTAGAATCACAGAATGTGAGAACTGGGGTGAGCCTGGAGGTGACTGGTGCCCAGGCTGACACTGTGTTGTGCAGCCTCAGATCCCCCGAGGCCCCCTGAGACAAGATAAGGTGGTAAAAGTGAGTAACTAGTCCTCCTCCAGCCCAGCCTCTGCTCCCAGGCAGACAGCGTCACCTCCATCTATTTTATCCATTGGGCCTCAATCTATGACTTCGTTTGCAAAAAGTTTCATTTGAAAAAATAATAATACAGTTTTGAAAGCCATTGCTCCCATCCAGCCCCTCACTTCCACGAGGAGAAAGCAGAGGGTCGAGGCAGACAGACTTTTCCATGACCACGTAACCAGTTAGTGGCAGCCCAGGTCTCAAGCACGGGTCTGTGGGTGAGTCCACTGTCCTTTTGTTACCGGAAAACCCCTGGGTGGGCTCAGGCTGCCTGTCGCTGTGTCCAATAACAAAGGCCGGGTTAAATCACGTAAGGCATTTACTGAGAAGGCCAGCCAACCAAGAAGACAGGGCCCTTACAAGCATCAAATCCTGCCTCCCAGCAGGTGCAGGGGGCAGGGTTATAAAGGGGAAGGGGCTGGGGTGAGGCGTGCAGTCCTGGGGGTCCACAGACATCTGCTATTGTCCTTGTCATCAGGTGATGAGATGATGTTGACAAGATGATTTTTTGACTCCTGGTGGGTCGGTCTGACCATGCTTATCTGGTCTGAGTCACCTCCTCCATTGCTTCCCACAAGGCCTTGAAAAGTAAACTTAAGAAAAACTTAACCCTATTCACATGAGTACATGTGTTCTAAGATTTAAAATAACATGATTCTTTTTCAGATGAATTCAGGTGCTCTATCTATCAGATTATAAACCCCCCTATCACTTTCCCATCTGTAGTGTCAATCTCAGGTGCCACCAGGGCCTCATCCCAGGGTGTCACTGCCCTGCGGCTGCCTGGGAAGCTCCTCTCTGGGGAGAACCTGCAGGGATGTGGGCCCTGGGCTCCGACACAACGTCTGGCCTGATGTTGACTGTGTCGCTGGGTAAGGACCAAGCAGCCCGGCTCAGGAGGCACGTGGGGCCTCCGGGAGACAGGAATGAGCGCGGGTGCAATCCGCCCAGCCCCTGCCCCTGCCTGAGCCTGTTTCTCACCCACAGTGAGGACAGGACGGTGCCTCCCACTGTGAGGAATGACAGGCTGCCTATGGAAGTCGGTCCGCAGTCCCTGGCGACCGGTAAAGGCTCTGATCAGAGCGACCTGGGGCTGGTGGGAGCAGACATATCCAGCCAAGGAGTGTTTCCACCAGGTTCCTGCAGCCCGTCTTCTCACCACTTGCAGCGGCTCCTGACCACGTCTTAGTTCATACGGATGACAAATGAGAGAGGAAGTAGACTCATGTTTATTAAAAATTTCTATTTCAAATGTATTTTCTGCTGAGCAGAGATTCGCTGCCTGACCTGCTCACTGGAGAAATGTAGGCTGGAGGGAGTTTGTCACATGCCGTCTGGGGCAGAAATCGAAAGCATTTCCAGACAAAAATATCCCAGGACATCCCTGAATCAGTGTTTTCCTTCAAGGAACGTCTGTGAAATTCTTTATTATGTAAAACAACCCCTGCAGCGAAGGACTTTGACAACCAATTTCCACTTCAGCTGAAAGGGTTGTGGAGAACTCATTTAAATCCAGACCACCTCCAAGTGGAAACTGTGCTGCTTCCACCCATCCTGCCGGGTTGGCAGTGCCCGGTGCTGTGGGTGCTGTGCAGGTGTCTGCGAGCGGACACCAGGCCCAACGCGCGCCTCCTTTCATTAGCGGCCGGCGCGTGTCCAAGCTTCCCGTCAGAGACGTTGCTTCTTAAGCGACGGGCTTGGTCCTTTGATGGGCATGCCTCCTTCCTTTCCCATGTTGGGAAGAAAGTGGAATTATTTAATTGCTAATTTTTTTCTTTTGCCATTTGTCTCCTGAACCGCATTATTTTTTGAGATAAGATGATCATTTTCTATATATTTTTTATGAAAAAAAAAAAAACAGGGTTGTATGAAAAGAGTCAACCCTACGTTATAGAAAATAGAGAGAAATACAGTAAAATTCTTTAAAAGACTCAATACCTCCTTATTAATATTCAGGGGCACTCATTTTAATACCTATTTGGTTGCAAACTAATTATTTGGTAGCTAACATTGACTTTTATTGTTGCTGTTTTATTCGTCTCTCATTCCCAGTTTACATCGTCAGATGATGACAGTTCTCAGGGCAAAGGCAGAGGCAGGAAGGAGATGGTGCGGGTGGGAAATGCTCCTCCTCCTCTCCTCCCGCCCCCCCCCCCCCCGCCCCCCACTCCCCGCTGGCTGGGTTCAGGCTGCACAGGCCTTCTTCTGGGTTGTTGGGAGTGAATCCTTAAGCGTCAGGAGTCCGTGTGCTGAAGTATAATTACAACATTTTGGATTCTCTGCACCTCAAACAGCTTCCAGCAGAGACTCGCGTGGTACACGGGCTCTTTCTTTGAGCTTGGAAACCTCCCTCCAAGAACAAGGCCGGGCTTCTCTTCCTCTCTGCTCTCCCCCGCCATCCGCCTCGTCCCAGCGGGAGCACGTCTGACTGCTCTCAGGGTCTCCAGCCCTTCCCGTGTCAGCTAGACGGAGGGATCTTGGCCTCAAAAGTAGTCCCAACTTTTAAATTATAATTGCTATGAATCCACCACGGTTGTGGGATTTTTTCCATTGAATAATTCAGGTAACTATTTGGGGATATACTGACTATTTATTGAAAACAATAAATAACCCTTAACATCAGTTTAGCCTAAAAATGTGCTTTATTCCACACATAAATTGCATTTGAATGACACAAGTGTTATGTAGTTTACATGGTGATGTTGAAACGACCCAAAAGGGTGTACAGAAAGAACGGGAAAAACAATGGGCACAATTACTCCATGGGTGGCCACACTTTTTTTAAAAAAAAATCACATGCCAGGCATCCAGTCTTTGCTATGAAAGGGCAATTAGACATTATCTAGTTCCACTTTATTCTTGGGGGAATGGCTAATACATGGCCAGCCAGTCTCTCTCAGCCACTCCCAGTGGGCATAGGTCATGTTTATGATAATGCTAGACCGAAGCATGAGAGCGGTCACAGGCCAGAGTCCCATTGGATATATCCATCTTCCCATGTGCTTGGTAAAGGATAGAGGTTTTTTTTATGAAAATCAATGTCCAAAAATGGAAGATTATAAATAAATGTCAAAATATATGACTTCTTTGGAAACATGAGACTTCAGTCCTGCTGCAGTTGCGCACGCACTGATGTTAGTCACGTGGTCCCTGTTCATACCGGGGTCTCAGGCACCTATGGAAGGGTCCACTCTTCTGAACTAAATGTCTGCTGCTTTCACTCGTTTCAGTTCCCCTTTTATGTCCCCTGAAACCAAGCTTAATGTCCAATCCCTTGTGAAGGTAACAGCCAATGAAATATTTAAAAGGAGCTAAAATACCCTCGCCTTCCTAAACCTTTGAACAGAATCCTATCTAATAATAGACAAACATGGTAATTGACTGTACCTTCGCTACGCCTCCCATTGGCTAATCAGCGAGATATGCAAATTAACTGCCAACAAAGATGGCGGCTAATTTGCATACTGCAGGCAGGGCGGACAGTGCCATCCAGCCTGCCCTGCCGCCATCCAGGCCTGCTATCTGAGACCTGGGGCAGCGGGCGTCCCGTGTGCGACCCGACCCCGGGCGGCCGGGCGGGGCAGCAAAGGCTTGAAGGCGGCTCCAGCCAAAGTGAAGGCCTGGGTCCCAGGTGCCGGAGGAAAACCGGTGCTGGCAGCCAGGGGAAGGGAAAGCCTATTGCACAAATCTTTTCGTGCAACAGGCCTCTAGTGTCAATATAATTGGCCACAGACTTAGCTGGGTTCAGATTTTGGTCACAGCACCTTTGCAGCCTTCTTTACTCCAGATAAGTCTCAGGAATTCCTTCAGCTGCTTCGCAGTAATTGGACTCTGCATCTTGACCCATCGCCATCTCTCTTCTCTGGCCACAGACTGTGGCTCTCAGAGGGAGGGCGCTGCTTCAGTGTGACCGGGTTGCCACCTATAGCGTGACCTCGTTTCTGTTCTGATACCTTCCTGTCATTGACAGTTTGGATCAGATTGCTGATGCTTCTTGTTACAAATGAGCAAACACAAGAACTGAGCCCTGCTCCCTCCTGAAACTGTATCAAATGTGTGATGGGATTTTTAAACTGAAAACCCCTCGTCTTAAGGACAATGAGGACCCAGCTGTGGGGGCTGGGCCGATGGACAAGTGGACCAGACTCAGCACACCCGCGCAACCTGGGTCCGGTTTTAATCACCCGACTCCCCCAAAT